TCTACTGGGGCAGAAAGAAAAAAAACCTGTAAATAGGCACATTTTTCAAATTGCCAGTTATAATATGTGTAATATGAACCAAGATAGAGATTAACAGAAGGAAACTTGGGATGTTTTTAATCATCAAACCACAGCCAAAAATACATATGATATGCTATAGTTTTTACAAGATCATCTGATCTATTTCCTTGTTTTGTTGTTAATATCAGTACTATGTAAGGTACCACAGGGAGATACTGAATTTGGCTTGAAGAACCCAGTACCATTTGGTCTTCTAATCTACTAGGTTGCTGATAGCCTATAAACATCTGTTTAATTAAATGTCCTGGTTCAGGAATCAGAAGTTATCAGGGGAGATTAAGATGATGCTAACAGGAAAGCTGTTCATTAATTGTTTTTACTGGACACGGCCGGGAGTATGACAGAGAAAAGGCACGGTGCTTGCAATGAAAAGAAAGAAGATGAGGGCAGGCTGGGGTCAAGGGAGTGATAGCCACTCTGGGTTCCATGTTTTAAGGGTTGTTGACAGACAGAAGCATGCCCAAATGGCTGTCATTAGCCACTGGATTTATTTACTAGTTCTATTCGCATCATCCTGCTCTAGGAGGTGGCCAGCAGGAGACTAGGAACTTTGTCTCACTTACAGCTGTAATCTGGGACCATGTTTATGGCCTAACCTATTATTACAGGTGTTCAATAAATACATAGGCAAAGTCAATCAAAATATCTTCACCCCTCCATGGAGCCTTGCCTCCCCCCAGATTGGACTCTCAATTTCCTTCTCTCCCAGCCTCCCCTCATGAAAGACTCTTCCTGACATGTAAATGGAAATGTGAGTCACAATGGCTCAGGGATCCATCTCTAGTTAAATGTCAAGAATTAAGAGGCTGAAGAGTGGGCTGGCGTATTGGACTGATAAAGAGAGTCAAGTGACCTCACAGCACCTGCTAGTACCCCAAACCTTGATTTTGTAAACTTCAAAAAGTTTATAAAGAGCAGGCGTCTCAAAAGAGCAGGCGTCCTCAAACTATGGCCCGTGGGCCACAGGTGGGTGTTTTTGCCCATTTGTTTTTTTTTTTACTTCAAATAAGATATGTGCGGTGTACATAGGAATTTGTTCATAGTTTTTTGTTTTTTTTTAACTATAGTCTGGCCCTCCAACGGTCTGAGGGACAGTGAACTGGCCCCCTGTTTAAAAAGTTTGAGGACCCCTGCTTAAGAGGGTCAGTGTGCGAAGGTTCCTTGAGGGTATCTTGTTACCTGACAAATGAGGAAACTGAGGCCCAGAGTGCAAAGACAACTTGAGGCTTGCCAGTGAGGGAACTGGGTGAGATCCCAGCTTGATCTGAACAGGAAGAAAAAGCACACAAATCCTGAAGTGAATGTTCTTCCCCTCCCAGCACTGCCAACTGCTGGCTGCTTGACCTTGAGGAAATTACTTAGCTCTTTAAGCCTTAGTTTTTTCATCTGAAAAGAGAAAATAGTGTTCTCACCACTTCTTGGTGGTGTTACAAAAATTAAATGGAGCAATACATATAATGTGCTTAGAGCAGTGTCTGACATTAAATTAAAGGTAGTCATTAAGATATTATTGTCATTGTTATTTTGACCACAACCTCAGGCCCCAGTCCTCAACATGTTTCAGCTCTAGACTGGCCCTGCTTCTTTCTGGAGGGCTGATGACCCAGGCCAGTGTACTCTCTCCCTTCTCCAGCCATGCCATTGGCTACCAGGGTCCTGAACTATAGCACGTGTAAAGGCATCTTTGTTGGAGAAAACATTGAGTGGGCTGGACAGCAGAGGCAAGCAAGCCATGGAGAGAATCCCAGTTTCTACACCAGGGACCTGAGAACTTCAAATAAGGTACATGATTTTCAAAATTTGCACATCTTTGGGGACCTAGAGCCCCGAGGTCGAGGTGGGAAGGAGAGAAGCCCAGTGCATAGGTTCCTGGTCACCTGCTCTGCTTAACAGAGCATCTCCGCTTCTATCTTGTTTGTGAACTCTCTCCATATGAGAGAGTATTCAAAGACACAGTCCTACAGCTAATACAAAGTTTGAAAATCCAACACATTCTATGATCTTGAAGATCATTTTCTGCTAAAAAAAATCCTATGAACTATTATTTCTTGAATTATTACTTAAGCATTCATTTATTTGGTGTGCACACACACAACTGAACACAAGTCTTCTGACTCACAGTGCAGTGATCCTTCCAGGGTATCACTACAGATTGCAGACATGGGTGGAGAGAAATAAGACAATTCCTTTCATTTCAGTACTAAGCTGTCAGGGCCTTATCAGTTTTCACCATTTTTCTACTCTGCACTTAGAGTAGATTATAAATCTCTACTCCAGGAAGTAGGGCAGGCCAGGGAGTGGTCAGACACTTCCAGGCGAAGTCTGGGGGGATGTCCCTTGTGTTTTATCATCTTCAATGCAGAATAGCTCATAACTCTTTATTCAGAATCCCCCTGGCCATTCAGTTCTTTGCAGGAGCCATAAGCTCAAAAGGCTACATGGCCAGACAGACAACTTCAATGTCAAGGGTCTGACAGCTAAGGGGCAAAACTGGAGAATGAAAGCCCTTCGGTGCCTCTGAGAGTAAGTGGAACATACATGGATGAGAAGAGAGGCTCAAATATTACCTACTTCCCTGTGTTTGTTTTCTTGTTCCTCAATCATGGGCCCATGCTCAGACCACCAGATCTGAGGTTTTGACCAGATGGACTATTTCTCTTTTTAAACTTATTTTTAGGAAAAAGAAAAAAATCCTACTGGGTAGAGATGAGTGGCCTCCAAAAGGTTTTATTTCCTTTCTGAGTCAGGTTCAGCCTCACTGGGTTCGGCTTTCAATTTCTGTAGCCTTGGCATTCCCTAACTAAGCAGTCACAGGTCCTCCGGTGTTGCCCCTCTATTTCAAGAGCCCCCAAAATTAAGCTGAGTGACTACAGATAAGTTTTTGGTACTTTCCAAAATTAAACTATTTCCCTTGGTAAATTTCCAGCAAATGAGCTCATTAATCTAAAAACAGGATGTGGCACATGAAGAGAGTGAGGTCAGACTGCCTGCTCTTTTCACTTACACTGGCTTGGGGCAGAGAGGAAGGGGTGGGTGGGAGAGAGGTGGGACAAGAGAATGGCTTTTATAGGCCCCAAATCCTTGAGAAACTTCACTTCATGGATTGGACTGAGAATCAATGAATTTTTAAATCAGAGACTTAAAGAACTCTTTGACTCCTTCTCTCTTAGATTAAAAGGCCCCACAGAGCCCACCTCTGGTCAACCCCCCACAGATGGCAGATTCCCTCTTAGAGGCTCCTGAGATCCTCTGCTGGTCTATTAGCAGGCAGACCCAGTGGGTCTCCTTTCACCCTCAGGACACCCTGTCCTGCAGCACCAGCCTGTCCACCAGAAGCTGGGGAACAGCAGCTCGGCCTCCAGTGGGTAAGAGACTTATATACAGCCAAGGTTAAAAAGCAAACATAAACAAAGAAGTAAAAGATAGTTCCCTCATCTTGGAATGCAGCTGGGAGTCAAGACATAAAAGGACACATAATATGCACATACATAAAGAGAATTGAATGGGTGCCTTTGAGGAGTTAAAACAAAACCTCAGGGTGGGCAGCCTCACCCTTCCCACAGCTATCAGTCCTACAAGCATAAGAGGCCTGATAGAGAAGGAGCTTTTACCGAATTGGTAGTTGGCAAAAATAAAGGTCCTTTGTAGCTTTTAAACTAAAATGCTACCCCAAAGGTAAGCTCCATAACTATGTTGACTAATATACACAAATACACACAATATACACAAATGCATAAGGAATAGCAATCGTGTGTGTTTAGACCGGGTCCTTAAACTACCCAGTTTTGTAAAAGCACAGCACCGGGAACTGCTTTACTGATTGCTCCAACCCAATAAGCTCGGACGGGCCTGACGCTGTGCTGGGCTCTCTGCAGGGATCCAAGAAAGCTAAGATTCAGGTTTTCCTAATTTTCACCTTGTCTTCACTCAGGATTTCAGGTAGGCAGGGGACCAGGGTGAGGGCTTAAGTTCCAGGTTTGCACCGTTTACTCCGGGAGCATGTTACTGAGAACTTAGCATGTGCAGGCACCGTACTCGGTGGAAGAACACCATGAGCGGAGGAGGGGCACGGGAGCGTGGTAGTTACTAGTGGGAGCACAGTGCCTGTGTCCCAGCCTCAGTTTCCCCATGAGGAGAGCGCTCGCCTGGACCCAGCGGCGGCCTCCCGAGCAGAACCTCGGCCCCGGCCCTGCCTTCCCCGCTTCCGCCGCCTGCTGCGCCGCCCGCGCCCCACCGGAAGCTCCCGGCCAGGCGGCGCGGAGGTTGGTCGCCCTGCACCCCCGCCCGCCCCGCCCCGGCTCCCGCACGCTCCGGCCCGGGCTCCCCCAGGCCTCCCGGGACCTGCGATCGCGGCTGCAGAGCCGGCTCCGGCACTGCCCCAGCCCTTCCTGCGGGCGCCCCGGGCCCCCGGGGCACATTCAGCCTCGAGCAGGCGCTGGCGGGCGCCGCGCTGCTCCCAGAGTTGCCGCACCACTGGAGATGTGGCGGTGGGGAGACGACAGTCACCTGCCCTCGGGGGTGGGGGTGGGGCGCGCAGACAGCCTTGGGGGCACAGACAGGCAACAGGGCATCTCGGGGCCAGGAGGCCAGGGTCTGCGCTGGCGCCGGCGGGTGCGAGGGATCGCAAAGCCGGGCTTCCCAGGGAAAGTGGGGACGCCGGCTGGTGCGCCCGAAGGACGAGTGGGAGCCTGGGGAGATGAGAGCATGCCGCGCAGAGAGACCCCGCGCGTGTGGACCCCCGCGGGTGGAGCCACGGAGATGGGGCCGAGGCAGGTTCAGAGTGGAAGAGGAGAGGCGGTCAAGAAGATGAATACAGAGCAGCCAGAGATGCAGGGGGGGAATGCCCCCCCACCCCACCCCCACCCCACCCCCACCCCACCCCGGGGTGCTGAAGCCTGGGAAAGAGAGAGATCCCTGAAGGAAGGGCTAAGAGCCAGGTCAGGTGCTGGCCTGAGGGCTAGTTGGATAGAAACTGGGATCAGCCCAGGGTGTTTGGCAAACTTGACATTTATAACCCTGGGGAGATGATTCCCCGAAGATTCAAGCACCTGCCTAGACGATCTTTTCTAGAAACGCCACTGTTAAGTGAGAGAGTAGATGGAAGAAGAATTTGGGATGAGGGTGAAGTGTTTTAAAGCCTGTGTGGTTAGAGCACAGGCTCTGGGTTCACTAGCTGTAAAACCTTAAGTCACTTAACCTCTCTGTGCCTCAGTTCCCTCATCTGTAAAATGGGGATGATGATGGTAATACCCATTTCATAGGATTCATGTGAAAATTAGATGAGATGATGCCTGTAAAATTACTTAACACAGCACAATAAAGTAGTACCTATTGTTTTCCACTTTTATTATTAGAGCTGCTTGAGCATATTTTGATGCTGATGGGAAGGAGCAGGTATAGAGGAAGGCATTGAAGACAGAGGGGAGAGAAAAGAGACTAGAGAGAAAGGGACCCAGAGGATGGGGGTAAGTCTTGGGTGCCTCTCCTATGCCAAATCAGGGGAAGGAGGAAACAGATAGACAGACATGCAGGACAGTTTGCAGATTCAGGGTGTACAGTTAAGGGAGTGACTTTCTGATAGTGTTGAAGCAGGCCTCAGGATTTGCTGGGAGGCTAGAGTTCCCGGTTTACACTGCAGTGGTGGGGGTTCTGTGCCCTCTTTGCCAGCCGTGCCTGGCAGCCCTCGTGTCATACCAGGGAAGATGGACGGTTGAATTTAGGGTCATTTGGCAATGTCTGACCTTCCTGGCCCACCTGTGAAGTTCAAGTAAAGTTCATAGATATGAAAACACTATAAAAGCATAATTTACCGTTTTAACTCTTTCCCCTGATTTTGAGGAACTGGAGGGCTGTGGCTGTGGCCAACATCTGAGTAAAATGTCAAAGCCTTTGGGGCACTTCACTTGGGCTACACAGCATGCCACACTTTAACCTATAATTTCATTAAGTCATCACAACAGTTGGGTGAAGTAGGTATTGTCCCATTTTACAGATGCAGAAACTGAGGTTCAGAGAAGTGAAGGACAATGTCCCAGGACCCACAGCTAGTAAATGGTGGACCCAGGATCGCAACTCAGATCTGTCTGACCTCAAAATGCATGATTTGAAACCACTGTGAAAGTTTTCAAAGCCCCTGTAGCAGCCCAGCAGGACAGATGTGCAGGGACATCTTCTCCATTTGATAGGAGAGATAAGTGGGATACTATGATCTCCATCCTGGGCTCTAAAGATTCTACTAAGCTCCCTTGTGTCTCTCTTATGTAGGTGGAGGAAAACAGAGCTTAGAGCCCCACAGCCCAGAGGGGAGGGGCTGAATGAATCTCAGGCCTGGTATGAACTCATTAGAAGCTCTGTGTCTTTGAACCAGGCATCTTGCTTCTCTGAGCCTATACACGGCTGCAGAATTCCCAGCAGGTTGTTGTAAGGATTTGGAGAGAAAATGTTGCCCAGCAGACATGCCAAGAGCCATTATTCCCACAGCTCAGTTTCCCTGCAAAAGTGGATCTATTAACAGATCCCGCTTGGCTGCTGAGACCAGCTGCCCTGGTCTTGTATTTGTTGAGCGCTTTGTTCTCCTCAGGGCAGGGAAGTGGTGGCGCCTGAACCGAGTATGTAGCCACCTATGACTTCCTGAGTGGGTGTGGGGGTGGGCCCTGAGGAGTCTGTGGTCCCAAGGCCTTGGACTTCAAAGGAGGGGAGGGCCCTGTGTCATCACCAGGACCGATGCCGAATGCTACAGGAGTCGGGTCATCACAGGCTTTCCTGCTGCCTCTGGTCGCCTTTGCTGTGGGGTCCCAAAACCTTAGCGCCCAGAGACCACCTGTTGCAACTCCTTTTTTTTGTTGTTACAGATGGGGTAATCAAGACCCACTGTGAGGAAGTGACTTTTACCTGAGGTCACCCAGATGTTGGACAGGGCAGAGCAAAAAAAGCACTAGAACTTGAATTTTTGGACCTGCTTCCAGGACCCTGGGGATTTCTACCAGGAAGGTGAGCACCCCCATGGAGAGCTCCAGGCTGCTCAAAGGAACCAGGGAACACAGACAAGTGGCCAGCAGTGGCCCTCTCCTCTGATGTGCCCAGGTAGGAGGCAGAGGAAGCCGGTGGAAGCCCCAAACTCTCAGACAGGGGAACTCTAACTGTGCTTCCTGAAAGTGTGTGACACGGTTCTTTTTCTCTGACTCTCTTTCTTGCTTTTTCTCACTCTAAAAAATGACTGGACACTCCTGAAGCCTTCAGTCACCATCCAGGGGATTTTTTTCACCACAAAGGGTAATTCCTGCCCCATCCCTGCTGTGACTCAGCTGTGACGTTGAACCACACAAGCCAGAGAGAAGATAAACTCATCAGAAAGTCCTGCTCACCAGAGAGGGAGGCCCAGACCAGGACCCACCTCTCCTGTCATCACAGACTCCACGGGGCTGGTCCCCTGCCCTGGAAGAGCTCAGACGGGCCCTCTGGCCAGCCTGGGACCCTGGGATGGCCTCCAGCTCAGCCGGCAGCCCCCGCCCAGCCCCTGATGAGAATGAGTTTCCCTTTGGGTGTCCCCCCACCTCCTGCCAGGATCCAACAGAGCCCAGGGCTCTCTGCTGCACGGCTTGTCTCTCTGAGAACCTGAGGTGAGGAGACAGAGGAGCAAAGGGTGGACGGGAAGACAGTGCGGGGAGGTGGGGGGCGGCAGGGAGTGGTGCCTGATGAGAGGCGAGGGTGAGGAAAGCAGGTGACTGGGCCGGTGACTTCACCTCTCTGGACCTCAGTTTCCACACCTTTCCTCACTCTCCCTGACACTGCCCCTGTGGCTGTTGGTGGAAGGAGAAGCAGCCACAGAAAGATGTCAACTCTCACAGCACAAGGCCAGGCTCTGCAAGGAAGAGCCTCTAGGCCCAGCTGGGCTTTTTACTTACTGTGTGGTCAGGTGCAAGCTGCTGATGTCTGAATCCACAACTTTCTTACCTGTAAAGCTATTTTCTCCCTCACAGAATTGTCAATAGATTGGCCCAATCAATAATAATAAAACAATTTCATATGATAACAAATATAAACCCCTTGGTAAATGCCAAACTATTATACAAATATATATCCTTCCACAATATTGCCTCTCGCTTTATACTATTTGTTGGGAATCCTTTTAAAGGGGACAAAGGTATATATATATTAATAGATATAGACAAAACATATATGTATATAGGCCAGGCATGGTGGCTCACGCCTGTAATCCTAGCACTCTGGGAGGCCGAGGCAGGTGAATCATTTGAGGTCAGGAGTTCAAGACCAGCCTGAGCAAGAGCGAGACCCCAACTCTACTAAAAATAGAAAGAAATTAGCTGGACAACTAAAAATATATAGAAAAAAATTAGCTGGGCATGGTGGCACATGCCTGTAGTCCCAGATACTTGGGAGGCTGAGGAAGTAGGATTGCTTGAGCCCAGGAGTTGGAGGTTGCTGTGAGCTATGATGATGCCATGGCACTCTAGCCAGGGCAACAGAGTGAGACTCTGTCTAAAAAAAAAAAAAAATATATATATATATATATATATATATATATATATATATATGTATTTATATTTAAGATATTAATAACCCAGAAAGGTATGAGACCAATACTATTATTAACATCCTTCTTTGAGCAGCTATTATGCACCTACTGTGTGCTGAGTAATCTCAGAACAGCCTAGAGAGGTGAGTACTATTAATAATATCCTATTAGAGAGATTAGATCAGCTTACCCCAGGCCAGTTTCCTGGCAAATATGCACTTAAGCTGCCTCACATGTTGACCTTTTGTTTGGGGTTTTACAGCTTAAGAAGGTGGGGACACTGAATCAGGCGAGTGGGAAGTTCAAATGTGGTGACAAAGGGGGGCTGTGAGAAGAGGGAGGAGAGGTCATGGCAGTGGAGAGCTGTCAGGGGGTGGAGGAGCAAAGCTTGACTGTTTTTACCATCAAGCTGATGTTCGGGGCTCATCTCAGGCTTTGGTGTCGGGTCTCCTTATTTGCCTGCATTCTTCCAAAACCTGGCAGAGGAAGGGGAGGAAGCCAGCTGGAGGTCGGAGGGGCCTGAGGCCTGAGGCCTGAAGAGCTTCTGCCCAGCCCAGCTCCAGTCTCACCCTACCTTGGCAGGTCTACATGCCCCCTGGGTCCTCATTTCCCTCGCCTATAAAATGGGCTGGGTCAGTAGCTCTCACTGTGGGTCAGAAGCACTTGGGAGCTTTGTAAAAACACATGTGTCACCCCAGTCAGAATCTGACACCCACTCCTGATTAAGAACCTCCAGGCTAGATGTCTCTGAGGCCACTTCTTGTTCTAATAGGCTATGACCATCTGTAATTACTAAAAATAAGAGACCAAAACCAAATAGAGAATGCTGAGAAAAGCAAACATAGTTACACGTCCATAGTCCCTTGCCTAAACCCCGGGGGTCAGATGTGTTTGGAAATTCAGACTGTTTTTTAGAAAAGCAAATCAGTGCATTATGTAATTCTTCTGGGGGAGAGTGGGGTAGCACCTATGATCAGGCTCATTAAGGTTTCTGCAATGAAACATATAAATATTCACACTAAGTGGGGCAAGTAAGGGCTATAATAGTTTCCCGTCAGTATGGGCCAAGTCTGGCTGCCCAGGAAAACTTCAGGAAAAACATGGGATGTTCAGTGCATTTTGAGGTTTGGGAATGGTGGGTCCGGGATGGTGGACCCACGTGATCCTTGATGTCAGTTGCCATGCTGGGCAAAGTCTGGGCTTCTCGAGCTGTCAGGAGAGTGAATGGTACCAGGGCATTGTAGTGCCTTACTCAGGGATCTGTTCACATTTCCCCAGGAACAGTGAGGATCGGATCTGTCCCAAATGCAGAGGGGACGACCTCCACCCTGTAAGCCCAGGAAGCCTTCTGACTCAGGAGAAGGTATGTTGGCACATCCAGGAAAGAGTATTTGTCCATTTTCTTGATTTTTCTAGGTTAAGCCAAGTGGGCTGCTTCCCACTTGGCCTCTGGCAGGCATTTCCCTTCTTGTCTTGAGTCAGGACTGAATTCGCTTTATATGTGGTGAGGAGACTGATGATGTTCATAGTGGAGAAACATTTTGCCCAAAGCCACCTGGCCAGTCTGTGATAGATTTAGGGTAACAACGGTCTAGGACAAATGTCCACAAACTACAACTCTTGGGTCAAATCTGATTCACAACCTGTTTTTGTACAGCCTATGAGCTAAGAATGCTTTTTATGTTTTTAAATGATTGAACAAAATCAAAGACAGAATGATACATAGGGACCTTTCAGCCCAAGTTCTTTACTTGCAGCAGGAGCCTGGTGTTCAGGGATGGTTCTGTGTAGTTCGCTGCATAGCTGGAGGCGATTGCCACGTTGCTCCATCTGTAAAATTAAGAAGTTAAGTTGGCTCTTCAGAGTCTTTCCAGAATCTGTGATGTCCAGACTGTGGTGTCAATGCTGCCAGGGCCGCTCTCCCTCCCACCCATTGGACCACAGGCAGGTGAGGCCACATCTTTTCCCTTTTCCAGCCTGGTCCTCTCATTCAGAGAGTTTGGGGGAATTTTCTGCCCTACGAGCAGCCAGTTTAAAGGGTTTCCCATCTCCTTCTCGGCAAGCCCCTCCGCCACCAGACCCTCAGGGAATAATAATAAGCATCAAGTGCATTTTGCTAGAACTTTACACTCTACAACATGGTATGAGTTGATATGATACACCGATCATGGAGTAACTTCCTGTGCCTCCCTGTTTGGCTGTCTTAGTGGACTGGGCGTGAGACAAGAGCAGACTCAATGCTCTGTGGGCCCCTGTACCCCTCGTGCACAAGGGAGGGGTGGACAGGATGCTTGCTAAGGCCCTACCTGCTTGCATGCTCCAGGACTATTGCTTACATCCTGTTTTATTCTTTCCTCTTAACAAAATTAATAGGCATGTATTGTACAAATCTTAGATAATATAGATTAGGACATTTTATTATATCTTACTCTAGTGGCTTTAATTTTTTCATCTTTATTAAAGTGAAATCAGATGAATGTAGAAGTGCTCTGATGGAAGGGAAGCCCGGAGCCCTGTCCTCCTAGTTACCCTGTTTCTTTCTCCTATCCCAGCCCCTGAGCGACTCTGGGGACTCCCAGGAACCTGCAGCGCACAGTTTGAAGCTTGCTGCCTTGAACGAAATGAAGGGACTCTAATGGTGGAATTACAGGTGCCCTAGCAGGCCGTGGGTTGGGAGTGGGTGCTGCTACATCTGGGGGCAAAGGCCTCTTGAACACAGGCAGATCCAAGAATCGTCATCCCCGTCCCTGCTGGCTGCCCCCGCATGTGCAGCCAACACCACAGCCCAGTGGAAAGCTGGGGCAGGGGTGAGTCAGTGGTGTCATCACCTGCACAAAGCCACGAGGGGAAGGACCAGGGACTCCTCTGGCTCCTGCCCCTGAAGGGGACTTTGGGGGACTTTTGACCAAAGGAAAGCAGCTGGTGATAAGTCACCACTTTGCATACGTGGTGATTCCTACTTTGTGTGTCTGGAGCACCCCGGGAAAAGGGAGGCACGGCGGAGGCTGGACACCCGCTGAGCTAAGCCCAGAGGCACCCATCCCTACAAACACTCTCTGTGCCATCTGCTTATCAGTTTGTCCTTGTCCTCTGACTTCATTAGATTAATATCTCCCTAAGAAGTGCCCAGAGAACAGATCCAATACAAAAGGCAGGTATTAAAGGATGAATACTGACCTAGTTAGAGACTGGTTCTTGCCTAGAATGATCTTCCTTTGACATTGAAGTAGCGGACCAGTGGCAGGAAAATAACATTCAGTCCTGTCTGCCAGGTACCTGCAAATGGGATTGTTTTCTCACCCTCTTCTCTTCCCCATGAGGCCCATTCAAGAAGGCCAAAGGTAAGCTGGCATCTGATGCCAATGGCTCACAATAATGCCCTGGCTTTTTCTAGAATCAGAAAATGACAGGAGTCTAAGATGTCCAGCCTAGTTCCCACTCTGTACTGGAGTCCCGCCATGTGGGTCCATGTCCTTCCAATAACAGAATACCCATGACTCCCGGAAACAAGCACCCCACCTTGGAGGGCTATGACTATTGCAGTGTTTTTCTCTTTAGTGGTGCTAAGCTGCAGTCTGTCTCCCTTGAGGCCGTAAAAGGCAAGTCAGCCTCCTGTCTCCCGAGTCAGTCCTGCCTCTGTGGAAAGACACTGACCACATCCATCTTGAGTCTGTGCCTGGTCTCCGTGGATTTGGGGTAAATGTGCTCCCACTCATCTGTGTCTCTTGAAGCATGATACCTGGAAATGAACCCCAAACCCTTACACTTCTGAACTTGGCAGTTTGCATCTGTAATCTCACCAATCCCATGACATCCTATGTGCTAGGTGGTGGTGAAATCCCTATTTTACTGATAGGTGTACAAGGTCTGTCTGAAAAGTATCCAGCCATTGTTAACATAACGAGAATGGATACGTGGCTGGTTACTTTCTGGACAGTTATCGGATAGGCTCCATGACGAGGTGTCCCTGGCTCAAAATCACATAGCAAACGGGAGTCAAAGCCAGGCTCCAACTCCTGCCAACTAGGCTGGTGGCCTCTTCTCTGTGCTACCTCCACATGGGGGATCACCCCCCAAATGTTTTATGCATGTTTACATAACACTATCAGCCTTAAGTGCTAGAATCCACTAAGTGCTGTGGAAAAGCAGGAATGGGCAAGACCAGGAGATTCAGGCAGGGCTTCCCAGAGGAGGTGGCAGTGAAGCTGGGCAGAGGTTGACAGAGAAGAAACTGGTCCAATTACAGAGGAGGGCAGGAGCTGGCAGACAGCAGCACACTGACCAAGTTACCCCTGTCACTGTAGGGTACCCTCCTCAGCTGTAGCTGAGGCTCGAGCAGAAACAGCCCCTGGGCATGCAAAATCTCAGCTGGCCTCTGAGCCCAGCCCAGCAGGGTGGGCAGTGCCTGGCATGCTCAGACCCTCTTTGTTCCGCATGGCGGCTGCACAGAGGCAGCACTCATGCTCCTGACACCCTCTTAACACACATGCTCAGAGGCCCCCAGGTCTCTGAATGGGGGGCCCCTGCCAGGGCCCACTGTGACCCCACCACAAAGGTCCTGGGTAGCTGGGGTGGCTGGGAACACCACACACCCAGAGACTTCTCGGACCCAGACAGAAGAGCATGTGTTCCCTCAGGGCTGGGAATCTGTTTTCTGTGTTTCTATTTTCTCCTCAGCGGAAATTCCACTGTGAATTTTATTTTTAGCAATTTGCAAGCAGCGAGGCCATGCACACAAGGGCCACTGTGGCACCAGACATACACCATGGTTGGCCCAGGACAGATCCCCTGTTCTTCTTCTGCAACCCAAGCCTGATTCCTTCTCCTTCCTTTTGGTTCCTGGCCGTCAGGTGAGGCTACCCTTTGGTCAAGGCAGGGACTCTGTGGTGGGGAGGAAGGAGCCTGAGCTCCACCTTGCCTTGCCCTGCCACCTCCCGCAAGTCCTTGACCATCCCTGAGCTTCAGCTGCCTCACCTACATATATCTCAGAACCTGAAAGCCCCGACCTCTGCCTTGTGGCTGTGAGGATCCAAAGTGATGGTGCCTGCACAAGAGCCAGGAAAGCAGCAAGCCTTTGCATGGCTCATAACTATGGCAGAGAAGACCCAGAATTGCTCAGCTCCTTGGCTTGCAAGCTTGATGTGACCCCAGTCAGGCCACTCACTTGGTTTCTCTGCCAGTATTAAGGTGAAACTGATCCAGCCCCCCTGCCTCAAAGGATTGTTGCAAAGATCCTATGAGAAAACATTCAAAAATGCTTTAGTCCTGTGTAAGAGAAGATGTTTTAGGGACTTAAACATTTAGGGATGCTTCTTACCTCCTCAAGGAAATCTAATGGGGAAAATGGAGTTTTATAGAATTAGTTATTAAGAGTTTGAGATGTGAGGATGAAATGAGATGCATGTATATGACAGCCACTGGGGCGTGGGGGCGAGGTCCCAATGGGCAGTGCTTAATCCATAGGAATAATAATACTAATAGAAATACCACTACTAATCACTAACATTTGCTGAACACTGTGTTAGGCAGAATAGTGTCCTCCAGAGATGTTCGTAACTGAATCCCCAGAACCTGTAACTATGTCACCTCACATGGCTTTGTGTGCTAGAGCTGCCATAACAGTACACAGAGCAGGCCGGGTGCAATGGCAGGTGCCTGTAGTCCCAGCTACTCGGGAGGCTGAGACAGGAGGATCACTTGAGGTATGATGATGCCACTGCACTCTAGCTCAGGCAACAGAGCAAGACCTGTCTCAAAAAAAAAAAAAAAAAAAGTACACAGACTGCATGGTATAAACAACAGAAATTTATTTCTTCACAGTTTTGGAGACTAGAATTCCAAGACAAGGTATTGGCAGGGGTGGTTTCTTCTAAGGCTTTTCTCCCTGGTTTGTATTAATAGATGGCCATCTTCTCCCCATGTCTTCACATGGTCCTTCATGTCCAAATTTCCTCCTCCTATAAGGACACCAGTCACATTGGATTAGGGCCCACCCCTAATGACCTCAATTTTAACTTAATCAGCTCTTTAAAGATCCTGCCTCTACATTCTGAGATACTAGGGGTGAGGACTTCAATATATGTGTTTGGGTTGGGGGACACTAGGCCCATAACAGTGGCAAAGAGACGCTGCAGACACGATTAATTTAGGGAAACTGAGAAGGGGAGATTACCCTGGATTATCTGCATGGGTCCTCATAAGAGGGGGACAAGATAAGGCAGGGAGACTGGAAGGTGCTCTACTGCTGGCTCTGAAGATGGCAGAAGGGGCCACAAGCCAGTGAGCGCAGGCAGCCACTAGAAGCTGGAAAAACCAAGGGAGCAAATTCTCCCCTAGGGTCTCTGGGAGGAACACAGTCCTGCTGACATTTTGCTGTTGAACATCTGATCTCCAGAACTGTTGATAATAAAGTTGCGTTGTTTTAAGCCATTAGGTCAGTGATATTTTGTTACAGCAGCAATAGATAATAATACCAGAACTTATTGGATTATCTCATTTAATCCTCACTAAAACTCTCTAAGGAGGGGCACTGTTATTATCCTCACAGAAGACTGCAACATGGAGAGGTTAATAACTCTCCCAGGGCCACACGGCTAGTACGTGAAGTGACAGACATGGGCCATGAACCCCATAGGCTGTCTCCAGAGCCCACACCCTGAATCTCCATATATCTGAGGAAGGAGTGACTGAAGACGGGGCTTAAGGCAGCCTGGCTGACCACCATGGCCTCTGAAGGCCTCTCGAGTCACTTGCCCTCCCTCCAGCAGCCATTCAAGGTCACAGTTCACACCTGCACAGACCTCATAGAAGGATAACCTGTATATCCACACAGCATTCTACCCCCTGCCGTGGGCTTTCACTGCTCACACAACACCAGGAAGGCTCAGCTGCCCGAGAACAGACCCCCTCCACCTGCGGGGTGACTCCGAGCTTGGTCATTTTCACTTTCTATCCCTTATGACTCTCACTTTAAGTTTCCACCCGTAGAACCACAGAGGATTTAAATCATGGACTTTTGGGGAGTTTCAGGGCCTGAGAGGTTACCCCCAAGTCCTTTCACCCAGAAACTGGGTCCACACCTGGCATCAGGCCCTCCATCATCCCCACAAGCCAAAAGCTACGTGTTGGGAGATACTTTGTCACCACAGACTTCTCAAAGCCAGTGTAGTCTCCCTTCCAGGGCCACCCTCTGCCTACCCCCCATAAAACATCTGTTTTCTATTCTTTGTTGGGAACAAATTGTCCCTGAAGCCCAGGGCGAGGGGGTGGCTCTTTGCTGAGCTGTGCTCTGTGTCCCAAACCAACTGTACTCATTAAGCCCGCAGCTCTCTGCTTATTTTACTTTTAAAGAATAATAACTAGTATGGGTTAGTATTTGCTCAGCCCAAAGACCTCTCTCCCCCTCCTTTCATTTGAATCCCCTTTCACATGGCCTTAGGAGATTATTCTTTAAAAAAAAAAAAAAAAAAAAAAACTCTTGTAAAATCAAGATATTATTTACATGCAATAAAATTCACTCATGTTAAGTGTATAGTCTGGTGAGTGTACGTCATGGTGTGCTCACTACAGTCAAGATGCCAGCATTTCTGCTGCAGATAAAGCTACTTCCTGTCCCTGCGCAGCCAGTCCCTCTTACTCACAGCCCCAGGCAACCTCTGATCTACTTTCTGTCACTACAGTTTTGCCTTTTCTACCATCTCATAAGAATGGAATCTAGTAGTATATAGTCTTTTGTGTTTGGCTTGTTTCATTTAGCGTAATGTTTTTGAGGTTCATCCATGTTATCATTTATATTAGTATTTAATTCCATTTGATTGCTGAGTAGTGTTCCATAGTATAGATATACCAAAAATTGTTTATCCATTCACCAGTGAGTGACATTTGAGTTGCTTCCAGTTTGAGCTATTATGAATAAAGCTGCTATGAACATTCACATACACGTCTTTGTGTGGACATATGTTTTACTTTCTCTTGGGTAAATTCCTAGGAGTGGAATGTGTGAATTGTATGGTAACTTTGTAAGTATTGTTTATAAGTAAGTTATTTTATAAATATGGTTTAACTTTATAATATACTTCTATAGATTTTCCCAAAGTGTCTGTACCATTTTGCATTCCCACCAGCAACATATGAGGGTTCTCACTACTCTACATCCTCACCAAAACTTGGTATTGTCACTCTTTTTAATTTTAACCATTCTAAGGGTACGGTGGCTCACGCCTGTAATCCTAGCACTCCGGGCGGCCAAGGTGGGAGGATCATTCAAGGTCAGGAGTTTGAAACCAGCCTGAGCAAGAGCAAGACCCCATCTCTACTAAAAATAGGAAGAAATTAATTGGCCAACTAAAATATATAGAAAAAATTAGCTGGGCATGGTGGCACATGCCTGTTGTCCCAGCTACTCAGGAGGCTGAGGCAGTAGGATCACTTGAGCCCAGGAGTTTGAGGTTGCTGTGAGCTAGGTTGATATCACGGCACTGTAGCCCAGGCAACAGAGTGACTGTGTTTCAAAAAAAAATTTTCTTTAACCATTTTAGTGAGTGGGTAGTGTTGTTTTATTGTGGCTAGTGGCATTTACATTTCTCTGATGACTAGTGATCAGAGAACTGAACACTAGTGATGTTGAGCATCTTTTTTGTCATTCATGGATCTCCTTTTGTGAAGTAACTTTTAAGTATTTTGCTCATTTTTATTAGTTCTTTTTTGTCTTCTTATTATTGGGTTGTAAGAGTTCTTTATAGATTCTGGATACCAGCCCTTTTGCAGATACAGTCAAGATCACACAGCAATTATTTCAGTCAACAATGGACCAAATATATATGAGGTGGCCCCATAAGCTTATAATACCTTATTTTTGTGGAACTTTTTCTGTTATTTAGATATACAGATACTTACCATTGTGCTACAATTGTCTACAGTATTCAGGACAATAACATGCTGTACAGGTTTGTAGCCTAGGAGCAATAGATTATACCATATAGCAGCCTAGGTGTATAGTAAGCTGTCTAAAGATGAGGAACCTGCAGCCTTCTGATTTCAAGATTGTTTTTTTTAAGCACCAAAGGAGGGAAGAGAAGCTTCATCTTTCTCTGTTCTACCCCTTTTAATAAAAGGATTTGTTCTGTAAAATTTGGATTCAGTCCAAAGGCTGCACTTAAAGACCTAGAAGGCCACATGTACCTAGAAGGTACTACCATCTAGGTTTGTGTAAGTACACTCTGTGATGTTCACATAATGACGAAGTTGCCTAATGGTGCCTTTCTCAGAACATATCCCTGTTGTTAAGTGACAGATGACTGTATATATTTTGAAAAAAAATTTCTCTCCTCTCCTGTGGGCTTATTCTCCCCCTACCATGGGCTTATTCTTGATGAGAGAGAGACGCAGTGTGGGTGGAGTCCTGGGGCTGTGCTGCTCCCTAGCCCTGCCTCCTTGGGCAAATACCTTCCCCTCTGTGACCCTCTGTTTCTTCATCAGTAAAATAAGGGGGGCAGGGAACCCTACCCCATCTTCCCCACAGTGTTGCAGTGAGCCCAAGGAAGAATTATGACAGCATTATGACAGAATTATGAAAGCATTTGGCAAACCCTTCAGACCTAAATAGGATGATGGTCATGTCAAGTTGCCATTAATATTAAGACCCTCCTATGTCCCTGCCTTCGGGCTGTGTGTCATCTGGAAGGGAAAGCAGGGCAAGGCAGGCACACCTCAGTCAAGGACAGATGGCCAGGGAGGGATGCAGGTGGGCACTGTGAGAAGGGGAGTCCTCAGGGACTTCAGGAGGATGGAAGCAGTCATTCATGCAGCCAGCATGCTCTGAGTGTCTCCTCTGTGCCAGGCACCACCCTCAGCACTAACGACACAGCCATGACCCTCAAAGAGCCCTCAGATCAGCAGGGGCAACCAACGAGTGAACAATGATAATAGAGTATGAATTATATAGAATGGAGAAAGAGCAGCGCTGCCCAGGATCACAGCAGGGGTCCTGGTCCTGTTTTGAAGGAAGGTCAGAGAAGGGATGAGGCTCAAAGGGTAGAAAAGAATCAGCCAGGCAGAAGGAACAGCATGTGTGAAGTCATGTGGCCCAGTCCAGCTCCTGACTTCATGGATCCTGGTGCATTGCAGAGAGCCCTAAGGGTGGCCACAGGGATCCCCATAACATCCAGTGACATGGTTATTATTTTCAGGTTCACCCTGAGATGGATGAGGCTGGAGTTGGGTGCCCCTTTGCAGGTGTTGGCTGCTCCTTCAAGGTAAGTATCTGTGTGTAAGAAAGATCTGTCCACGACAGCTCCAGGCCTCTGTGCCTCCCCACTCCAGCCCTGCCAGAATTTTCCCATAACATGAAGCAACTCCTCTAGACATTCCTCATACTAACGACTTTCTCAAGCAGTAATTCGCACTATTACATCATCACAGTACTCAGGGAAGTTCTTCTTAATGTCTCACCTAAGCATTGGTGTAACGTCACTGATGTGACCCCCCCATGCCTCTCTCCATGGTCCTGATCCAACATTTTGCTCAAGGGCAGGGCAGGATCGTTGCTCTAGAGAATGAGTGAGATGCATGTGGCTCATCCTGGGCATGGCTGATGTCAGGGTCCTCCTCCTGAATCCCTCCCAGTATACAGAAAGCCACTTCCCCTTTGCTGGGTGAATGGATTTCCAGTGCTTGGTGACCTTTGATGGCAGGGCTCTCCACTTCTCCCTGGTTCTCCCTCCACCTCTGTTTTCACTGAGCAGACCCATTCTCTTGGCAGGGGAGTCCACAATCCATGCAGGAGCATGAGGTCACTTCCCAAGCCTCCCACCTAAACCTGCTGCTGGGGTTCATGAAACAGTGGAAGGCCCAGCTGGGCTCTGGCCTAGGGTTTGGGCCCATGGCCCTGGAGCAGAACCTGTCAGACCTGCAGCTACAGGCAGCCGTGGAGGTGACGGGGGACCTGGAGGTGGACTGCTACCGGGCACCCTGCTCTGAGAGTCAGGAGGAGCTGGCCCTGCAGCACTTCATGAAGGAGAAACTCCTGGCTGAGCTGGAAGGAAAGCTACGTGTGTTTGAGAACATTGTCGCCGTCCTCAACAAGGAGGTGGAGGCCTCCCACATGGCCCTGGCCGCCTCCATCCACCAGAGCCAGCTGGACCGAGAGCGCATCCTGAGCTTGGAACAGAGGGTGAGTGTGGGAAGCAGTTTTGCCTCCAAAGCTGGCTTAGGGAGTCTCATCCTGTCTCCAGAGCAGTGGACAAGCCTTCCTCCTAATCGTTCAGCCTATTCAGAGCAGCCCCTCCCCCATCAAAACATACCTCCCCTGTATCCCAGGACCTTCCAGGAAGAGCACCGAGTCAGAAGCTATAATCAAGGGGCAGACGCCCCCAACCAGTGCTTTTGTTCCTTTGCTTGAACTTCTCCTGTGATAGGACACCCCCTTGCTGGGTAGCTCGTTCTGTTGTGGGACATTTTTCACTGTTAGCCAAGTTCTTCCTTAGGCCAAGCTAAAACCAGCCTCTCTCTGTCTTCTCTGCTTTGTTCCTGGCCCTGCCCCTCAGGGCCTATAAAACAAATCTGCCTTCTAGTCCCTGTGGCCCTTCAGAGAGGGATAGTCAGTGATCACATCCTACCTGAGATTTCCTTCTTCAGGCTAAACTCCCCAGTGCCTTCACCCCTTCATCAGAGCACGTTGTTTTATGTTGTCCTCTTATGCTCTGGCTTAGTCTCTAAAGGATTCTATATGCTCGGAGTGTGTTCCCAGACTGACTCCACAGATAATCCACTTATCCGAGAATTCTTGGTCCAACAGGACTGTCCCCTCCTTTATTCCAGAGCTTATGCCTTTCTTTTTCTTTTTTAGTTTTTTTGATACATATTAATAATATTTTACATATTTATGGTACGTGTGATATTTTGTTACATGCATAGAATGTGTACTGATCAAGTTGGGGTATTTAGATGTCCATTGCTTTGAGTATTTATCATTTCTATGTGTTGGGAACAATTCAAGTCCTCTCTTCTAGTTATTTTGATATATAAAATACATTGTTAACTATAGTCACCACAATCTGCTATCAAGTGATAGAACTTATAGCTTTTATAATATCTAAATGGATGTTTGTACCTGTTAACCTATGTCTCTTCATCCTCTCCCACCCACCTTCCCTCCCCAGCCTGTAGTATCTATCATTCTACTGTCTATCTTTATGAAATCAACTTTTTTAGCTCCCACATATGAGTGAGAACATGCGATATTTGTCTTTCTGAGCCTGGGTTATGTCACTTTACATAATGACCTCCAGTTCCACCCATGTTGTTGCAAATGACAAGATTTCATTCTTTTTTGTGGCTGAGTAGTATTCCATTGTGTATGCATGCAACATTTTCTTTTTGCTTTTGGTTCTTTAAGCATCAGTTTGGTGGAAAAACTTGCCACATTTTATTTATCCATTCATGTCTCAGTGGACACTTTGGTTGATTCCGTATATTTGCTATTGTGAATAGTGCTACAATAAACATGCAGGTGCAGGTATCCCTTTGGTATACTGATTTCAGGCCGGGCGAGGTGGCTCACGCCTGTAATCCTAGCACTCTGGGAGGCCGAGGCGGGCGGATTGCTCGAGGTCAGGAGTTCAAAATCAGCCTGAGCGAGACCCCATCTCTACTATAAAAAAATAGAAAGAAATTAATTGGCCAACTAATATATATATATATATAAAATTAGCCGGGCATGGTGGTGCATGCCTGTAGTCCCAGCTACTCGGGAGGCTGAGGCAGGAGGATTGCTTGAGCCCAGGAGTTTCAGGTTGCTGTGAGCTAGGCTGACGCCACGGCACTCACTCTAGCCTGGGAAACAAAGCGAGACTCCGTCTCAAAGTAAATAAATAGATGAATGAATGAATGATATACTGATTTCTTTTCCTTTGGTTAAATACCCGGTAGTATGATTGCTGGATTTTATGGTAGTTCTAATTTTAGATATTTGGAGAAATATTTATACTTTTTTTCCCATAATGGTTGTACTAATTGACATTCCCACCAACAGGGTGTAAGAGTTCCCTTTTGGCAGGGCATGGTAGCTCACCTGTAGCTTGGTAGCTTACATGCCTGTAATCCCAGTGCTTTGGGAGGCCGAGGCAGGAGGATGACTTGAGACCAGGAGTTTGAGACCAACTTGGGCAATATGGTACGACCCCATCTCTACAAAAAAATTAAAAAATTAGTCAGTCATGGTGGCACATGCCTGTGGTCCTAGCTATTTGGGAGGCTGAGGCAAGAGGTTTACTTGAACCCAGGAGTTGGAGGCTGCCATGAGCTACGATCAGGCCACTGCACTCCAGCCTGGTGACAGAGTGAAACTCTGTTTCTAAAAAAAAGAGTTCCCTTTTCTCCACATCCTCACCAGCACCTGTTATTTTTTGTCTTTTTAATAATAGCCATTCTAACTGAGGTAAGATGATCTCGTCGTGGTTGTGATTTGCATTTTCCTGATGATTAGTGATGTTGAACATTTTTCATATACCTGTTGGCCATTTGTATATCTTCTGTTGGAAATTATCTATTCATGTCCTTTGCCTACTTTTTAATCAGCTTATTTGGTTTTTTATTGTTGAGTTATTTGAGTTCCTTATATTTTCAGGATATTAGTCCCTTGCCAAACGAATATTTTGTAAATATCTTCTCCCATTTAACAGGTTGTCTCTTCACTCTATTGATTGTTTCCTTTGCTGTGCAGAAGCTTTTTAGTTTAATACAGTCCCATTTGTCTGTTTTTGTTTTAGTTGTTTGTGCTTTTGAGGTCTTAGCCATAAAATCTTTGCCAAGATCTGTGTCCTGGAGTATTTTCCTTATGTTTTCTTTAAGCAGTTTTATACTTTCAGGTCTGTTCAAGTCTTTAATTAAGTCTTTAATGTTTAAGTCTTTAATTCATCTTGAGTTGATTTTTGTATATGGGGAGCAATAGGGGTACAGATTCATTCTTCGGCATACAGATATCCAATTTTCCCAGCACCATTTATTGAAGAGGGTGTTCTTTCCCCAGCCCCAGTGTATGTTCTTGGCACCTGCCTCTGCCTCTCAAGTAGCTGGGACTATAGGTGCATGCCACCATGCCCAGGTGATTTGTCTATTTTTGTAGAGTTGGGGCCTTGCTATATTGCCCAGGGTGGTCTTGAATTCCTGGTCTCAAGCAATCCTCCTTCCTCAGCCTTCCAAACCACTGGGATTACAGGCATGAGCCACTACACCTCGCCAATATTGATGTTTTGATAGGGATTACATTGAATCTGCATATTGTTTTTGCCCGTATAGTCATTTTAATGATATTTAATTCTTCCAATTCATGAGCATGCGATGTCTTTTCATTTATTTGTATCCTCTTTCAATTTCTTTCATTTCAATTTCTTTCATCAATGTTTTGTTGTTTTCCTTATAGAGGTCTTTCACCTCCTTGGTTAAATTAATTCCTAAGATTTTTTTTTGAAGCTATTGTAAATGAGATTGCCTTCTTGATTTCATTTTCAGCTATTTTATGTAGAAATGCTACTTATTTTTGCATGTTAATGTTTGTATCCTGCAACTTTACTAAATTTGTTTATCAGCTCTTAAGAGTTTTTTGGTGGAGTCTTTTGGTTTTTCCAAATATAAGATAATGTCATCTGCAAAGAGGGACAATTTGAGTTCCTCTTTTAGATGCCATTTACTTCTTTCTTTTGGCTGATTGCAGAGCTTATACCTTTCTTAACGTAGCCAGTCACCATTCTCACGTTGCTTTTTCTGAGCAGCCTCACAACATCGTCTCACACCGAGTTAGGCCTGGATTTCAGGTCCAGCTCCACCAGTAACTTCCTGTGTAGGTCTGAGCAACTCACTTTCCCTCTCAGGACCTCAGCTTCCCCCTCAGTAAAATTAAGGATTAGATTTTCTTTAAGCACACTCGCTTCTATTTCTGGCTTCCCTACCTTAGCATACCCGAGAATAAATTTGCATTCTTTCAAATTTCATAGGGGAAACTTACCATTAATAGAAGGTCTAGGCACTGGGTTCGAGTGACTGAGTAAAGCCTTTATTTATGTAACTCTTGCTTCACCAACAAACTTCCTGGCTATACTTTTATATGCCAGGCACTATGCCAGGCATGGTCACAAAGATAAAATGAGCATGGGCCCAGCCCTCAGTGGAGGAGACCATCTGGTAGGAGAGGCAGGGAAAAATCTGTCTCATAAAACATTATACGGGCTCTGTGAGAACATAGATGAGAGTGACCAGCTGAACTAGGACAGTGGTTGAAGGCTTCCCAGAGGAAGGCACATATGAGCCAGATTCCTAATGGATGAATAGGAGTTGGCCAGTGGAGAAGGAAGGTAAAGGAACTCCAGGCAGGAAGCGGCTCGTGCAAATGCAGACAAATGTGCCTGAGTGGGTGTGGTCAAGGAAAGCATATTTGGGGCAGATCCATCCCCGTATCCCGCCATCCCCACCTCATCCTCAAGCTGGGTTCTGGTGTCCCTGGCTGAATGGGCTTCCCTGCAGGTGGTGGAGTTGCAGCAGACGCTGGCTGAGAAAGACCAGGTCCTAGGCAAGCTGGAGCAGAGCCTGCGCCTCATGGAGGAGGCATCCTTTGATGGCACCTTCCTGTGGAAGATCACCAACGTCACCAGGCGGTGCCACGAGTCAGCCTGTGGCAGGACTGTCAGCCTTTTCTCCCCAGGTAACACCTCCCAGGAGCACAGGGACCAGCTGGGGGAGGCAGGCCCCACGGAGCCCAGGAAACAAGCAGTGAGAACAGCCAACTCTGACAGCCGGGCTGTGTCAAGTTAGGCTGGTGTCCATTCAGGCCACCTACCACAGCCAGGAACTGTGCTGGGACAGTGGGGGTGGTGGGTGAACCACGCATGCTCTGACGGGTGGCTCTCAGCCACGTACATCGGTAGCCTGGGCAGGCCATTTTCCCTCCCTGGGTGTCAGTCATATCCTGCAAATAGGAATGAAAACTGTTATCTGCTTCCTGTGGACGTGGGGTGTGAAAGAAAGTGTGCTGTGAGCCAGAGCTCGTGCAGATGAGAGGGACGCAGATGGTGGTCTTCACAGGGGAACACCTGGGGACCTCGGCCCTCAGGGAGCCAGCGGTCAAGTAGGGAACTGAGTAAAACACATGTACATTTGTGTGCGATTGCGGGAAGTGCACAGATTAAGTATTGTGTAAACTGGGGCAGCTCTTATTTCTGGGGCCCCTGGGCTGGGCACAATGTCTCGCATAAAGTGATTACTTAGTAAATGTTTCCCTTAACTAACTGATGTCTGTAAATATACCAGTGCATATATTTGTGCATGAAATGAGGCAGCAGAGTTTGCCCTGCACCTCAGAGCAGGGCTGGGGCCCCTTCCCTATAGGAGCAGTGCTCATCCCACTCTGTTGGGACAGCCCTTCTTCATAGGGCGGCCATGCGCCCCATACGCAGACCTTCTTTCCTCAATTCTTTCCAAAGAGGGAGGAAGCAAGCAGTGCCTAGGGCTTCCTGTTCTACCAAAACATAACAGGCAGAGATGAGTCAGGCTGCCAGCCTGTCCCACCTCCACCCCTTCCTGCCCACCCCCGTCCCCACCCAGCCCCTCCCAGAAGGGCTGTGTGCAGGAGGGTGTCAGTAGCTGGAACCCACACTCGGATGGAGTGGCCCTTTCAGCTGCCCAAGGGGAGAGCCCATGGGTCTCTGTGCTTCTCCACCAGGGATGACTCAGCCCTCAGGGGCCTTTGCCGAGGGCGGCTGGCAGAACTGTGAGTCACCCCACACACCCCCAGCCTCCAGAAGAGTCCAACCAGTTGGCCTAGGGCAGCAGAAAGAAACTGGTGTTGAGAGGCAGGAAGCAGGCTGCCTGGCCCCTAATCCTGTCTCTGCCCCCAACACACTGTGAGATGGAGACCAGCCACTTCCTTTTACTGGGCTCAGTTTTCAGACTGTAAAATGCAGGTTGCTTAGATCAGGGTTTCTGAAAGTGTGGTCCCCAGGCCAGCAGCATTGGTGTCCCCAGCAAACTTGTTAGAAATGCACATCCTCAGTCTCACCCCAGTGCTACTGAGTCAGAAATTCTGAGGGTGGGGCCTGGCAGTCTGTGATTTGGATGGCCAGTTGGCAACCACGGGACTAGATGATCTCCAAGAGCCTGTTCCTCTTTGACACGCTAATCAAGAAAAATGCTGGGCTCTAGCCCCAGCTGTCTTAGTTTTGAGCCACTGACCTGGGGCATGCCTAACCACGGGGTCCCTGTTCCCTCATCTGCAAAGTCCAGCACTCCCCAGCTGCCTGTGTGTTTCAGCTTTCTACACTGCCAAGTACGGCTACAAGTTGTGCCTGCGACTGTACCTGAATGGGGACGGAACGGGAAAGAGGACCCACCTGTCGCTCTTCATCGTGATCATGAGAGGGGAGTACGATGCTCTGCTGCCGTGGCCTTTCCGGAACAAGGTTTGAGCAGGGGCTGATGGGAGTGCTGTGGGGGGAGTATGGGAACCTGGGGCCTAGTCCTGGTTCAGGCATGAACTGGCCACATGGCCTGGGCAAGTCCCCCACCTCTCTGCACTGTCAGTTTCCCCTTTTATAAAAGAAGAAGCTGACTTCAGCTCTAGTAGCCAAAGCTCCCTCCAGCTCCGGGAGTCCAGGAGCTAAAATGTCTGGAACGGAGCACTCCTGAAGGTTCTATAGAAACCACCTATTCGCATGGTATGGGGAATACAGAAATTGCCTGGAGGTGCTATGAGGCTGGCCTGAACTGGCAGGATTTCCAGAAAAAGGGGAAAGAGGCAGATACCAAATACACGCCTATGAAAGTGGCTATAATCCAGAACACTGACAACAAATGTTGGGACGAGGTGGAGCAGCAGGAGTTCCCGTCCATTTCTGGTGGGAATGCAAAGTGGTTCAGTCACTTTGAAAGACAGTATGGCCGTTTCTAACAAAACTAAACGTACTCCTACCACACAGTCTAGCAGTCACACTGCTTGCTGTTTACCCAAAGGAGTTGAAAACTACATCCACACAAAAACCTGCACATAGTTGTTTGTGGCAGCTTTATCTGTAATTGCCCAAACTGGGAAGCAACCAAGATGCCCTTCAGTAGGTGCATGTCTGGTACATCCAGACAAGGAAATATCATTCAGTGCTAAAAAGAAACAACCTATCAAGCCTTGAAAAGACACGGATGAACCTTAGACACATATTACTAAGTGAAAGAAGCCAACTTGAAAAGACTGTATATTGTATGGTTCCAACTACATGACATTCTGGGAAAGGCAAAACTATGGAGACAGAAAAAAGAGTAGTGATTGCCAAGGCCAAGGGGCAGGGAGGGATGAACAGGTGGAGCATGGAGGAATTTTAGGGTAACGAAAGTACTCCTATGATACTATTAATATAATGGTGAGTACATGTCATTATACATTTGTCAAAACCCATAGAATGTGCAGCATCAAGAGTGAACCCTAATGTAAACTATGGACTTCGGGTGATAAAGATGTGTCAATGTAGGTTCATCCATTGTAACAAAGTACCAGCTGGTAGGGAGGTTGACAGATGTGTAGGACAGGGGTATGTGGGAAATCTGTATTTTCTACTCAGTTTTGCTAAAACTGCTCTAAAAAATAAAGTATATTAACAGTCTTTAAAGGGGGGTGCTGGGGGAGGCTAGGCAGTCCCTGCAGGTGAACAGCAGCATCGCATGAGGGGGAGGTGCCAAGAACACAGACCTCAGCTGGGGTGGGGACACAGGTGGGGTGGTGTAGGGTGGGGTGAGCGTGCCGCCGTGGCCTGGGTGTGAGTCAGTGGTCCCCACCACCCAGCGGTTCCCAAAGGTGCTGGGGAGATGTCTTAAATACCAACGACAGGGTCACAGCCCAGTAGGTGTTAAGGCCTGAGCACCAGGATTTTTAAGCCTCCCCAGGGGATTCTAACATGCAGCCAAGTTTAAGAACTGCGTCAGTAGGTGATGGGAAGACATTTCGGGGTCCTGGTGGGTGTTTCAGGGGAATGTGCCAGGGAAGAGGGTTCATGTCACTTTAGACAATCAGCTTCTTGGGGTGTCTGTATCTGTGCTGTGTAAACCAGAAGCTCCATAATGTTTCAGGGCACTGACCGATAGCCCCTCCTTCGCAGGCCTCCTTCCTTGGCAGTAGAAAGTCAGGAATTTAATTCACTGATTTATTCATTAATTCATTTGTCAATACTTATTAAGACAAACCTATTATGTGTAGCACTGTGTGTGATTCAAAAGTCAGATACTGTTCCCGCTCTAAAAGGAGATGAGATACATATAGATTAATTATAAGAGAAACATTACATATTGGTTTCTATAAGAAAATTCTCCAAAGGTGGTATGGTATTTGTCTTGGTCTGTCTTATATTGCCATAACAGAATACCTGAGGCTGAGTAATTTATAAAGAAGACATTTATTTAGCTCGTGCTCCTGCAGACTGGGAAGTTTAAAGAGATGGCCTTGGCTTCTGGCAAGGATTTTCATGCTGTTCATAACATGGTGGAAAAGGCCAAAGGGAAGGTGACACGTGCAAAGAGGTAGAACCTGAGTTCTAGAGTTATAGCAACCCACTCTTAAGGGAAGTAATCCCATTTCCAGAACTAATCCAGTCTCGGCAGAGTGAGAACTCACTCACTACTTAGAGAAGGGCATTGAGCCATTCATATGGGATCCTCACTCCTGGCCCAAACACCTCCCACTAGGCCCTGCCTCCCAACACAGCTACATTGAATCAAATTTCAACACAAATTTAGATGGGGACAATCTCAAGCCATAGCAGTACTCCGTGGAGGGAAAACTCACTTCCAGTGGGGCTGATAGAAAAAAGGCTTTATAAAAGGAAGAGCCTGGGGCCTGCCCTTGCCCTTCTGCCTTGCCACAGAAGGTTCCAGCTATAGCTGATGATCAAAAATTTCTGAGCCAGAGGAAGAGTTAGAGTCCAGCGGCCTTGTTCCCTCCTTCAGCCCCCAGCAGCCGATCAAACTCGTCTGAGGCATCAGACTCCTGTCACCAGCAGGAAGGAACATCTGATCTCAGTCATAGGCCAGCCCTGGAGCCTGCTTGGAATTTCAGGTGCTCCGGCTGCTGAGTTCTTGCCATCCACCAGGGGCAATCCTTACATGGTTTCTTTCACTCCTAATCCGACTGGGCTAAGGGTCAAAGGGGCCCCACAGGCAGCAGGCACAGAGCCCGGCTCAGAGCCCAACATGGGCCTACCTGCCATCGTGCTGCTGCCTGGGGCCTGATCTCCTGCCTGTCCCTGCCCTGCAGGTCACCTTCATGCTGCTCGACCAGAACAACCGTGAGCACGCCATTGATGCCTTCCGGCCTGACCTGAGCTCAGCGTCCTTCCAGCGGCCCCAGAGTGAAACCAATGTGGCCAGCGGCTGCCCCCTCTTCTTCCCCCTCAACAAGCTGCAGTCGCCCAAGCACGCCTATGTGAAGGATGACACCATGTTTCTCAAGTGCATTGTGGAGACCAGTGCTTAGGGTGGGAGGGTTGGCTCCTGAGGGAGCACCAGCTCAGACTGGGGGCTTAGCAAGATGACTGTGATGTCCTGTTCTTGGCGCCCAAGAACCCAGGGCACAAGGATGGGCCAGGGCTAGCATGATCTGAGCAGGACTGTTGGGTTGATCAGTGCTGGCCCTCACCTGAGGATGGCAGGACATGGGGCTGGGCACACAAAGGAAAGGGTCCAGAAGGAGGTGGGCAGAACTATTCCCTTCCTCACCAACCACATGACACTGGGAGGCCAGGGAGCCATGCCAGCCCTGAATATTGAGGCAGACTTCGACCAAGATGGGGAAAAAATGGCACCAGGCCTAGAGCTGCAGGACCCGAGCAGAGAAGCCACCAGGCTGGGAGGCCTCTGTAGGGACCACAGAGAACTGGAAACAGGCTCGCTCTCTTCCTGCCCAGGGGCAGAACCAGGACCAGCGTGCCCATGTGAATTCAGTCTGTCTAGGCCTGGACTGAGTTCCCTGTCCCTGGAGGTGAACAAACAAATTCAGAAAGCTACTGGAGCATCACATTGGGGGTTGGATTTGAAGAACTTTATGGCTCCTTCCAGCCCAGAAAGTCGCTAATTCTAGGTCTTCTGGCCCAGGTGAGGCCTAGGGCTGCAGGGGGTTTTGGAAACACTCAGGAGCCTCATGCCCTCTGGGTTCTTCACCCACCTTTAGTACCCCCAGGTGGACTGAGCTGGCCCACAAGGCACCTGCTCTCCAGGCCTGGCAGCTCACCTTTACCAACATGCAGGAGCACACACAGCCCTTGCGTCCTGTCCTCTACCAGCCAAACACCCCTCTGCCTCATCCAGGTGAAACCAGGTCACTGTGAGCTCCAAGGGCATAAACTTCCCACTTCCTTGCCTGGAGGCCCCACATTTCCAGAATCCCATGTCACCTCATTAATCCCATATTCACCTCTCTCAGTTGACTGATCAAGGCCTCTGAGCCACTGAGCAGAAGTTGTTCTTTGTCTGTGTATAAAACCAAAGAAAGAGTTTTTAAAATCTCTTTTAGATTTTTCACAAAGTGCCTGGCTGTGAGAGTTGGTCATAGCGAGCCAAGTTTGAAAAGGCCATTGCTGAGTTTGAGGTGGTGCCGCCAGTTCTGCAGGTGGTAGCAGAGGCCAGCGTGCTGGCAGGAACGTCCTCCTTGGCCTGTCTTCTCTGTCCTATAATGGGAGACCCACCCCAGCCTGCCTCCCACATTGGGTTCTCCGGCCCTCAAAGGAGATGCCACATGGGAGAGACTGGGGAGAGAGAGGCCCTGGTTACCGCTGCCTCCCTGTCACAGTCTGGTGGTGGCCCACGCTTGTCTTCTCACCTTGGAGGCCTCACCCAGTGTTCCAGAGACCCTGAGACTTCCTGCTGCTCTCCATGGCAGCCTTCCTGACAGCTTACTTTTCTTCCCTTTGCTGAGGCTATAATAGACTTCACTCCTCAAACCTTCAAGGTTTCTTCTGCAAAATGGGCCAGCAGGCCTGTCTGTTCTCTCTAGCCCAGCATCTGGGAGGATCAAAGGAGGTGAGGGAGCATCGTGGCATAGTAGGCTCAATAGGTCAGACAGCCGAGGTCCAGCCCGGCTGTAAACCTGGCATCCCTTCGTGCCTCAGCCTGTTCATCCGAAAACCAGGAGGAGCCCAGCTCATGGGGTTCACAGGAGGCCCCGCCGCAGTGATGGAGCACCAACGCTTTGCACATGCAATGGCATCTTCTGTGCGTGACAGGCTGCAAACACGCCAGGGCTGCTTTTCTTGTTCCCACTGCTGATAGCATGTCAGCAATGGAGACTGACTTGCTTCCCTTTGACAGGTGGATGTAACAGGTAAAGATCTGGCCTACCAAGTTATGGGGCTTCTGCCTCGGAGCTGGTGTCCTAGCAATGACCTCTCTATCCCTTCTCACGGAGTGCTGAGCTAAAGGGGGATTCGTAGGATAAGCCACAAAAGGGACTCCTGTCCCTCTACAGCTTTAATTGCTCCTTTCTGATGGGAAGAGACACATACTCTCTTCAAACAGTGTGAGATGCATCCATTCTTTCAGCAAAGCTTTACTGACACGGTGTGTGTCATCTGCTGAGATGGACTCTGGGGAGAAGGAAGGTAAGATGTGCACCCTGCCCTCAAGAAACTTTTAGTTCTGTGGGGGAAACAGGCCCGTAAGTAGATTTTTATGGCTGAAAGTAAGAGAAGCTCAGAGAAAGTGCAGAATCCCAGATCCGTTGGGTGGGGCAGGGAGGGCTTCATGGCAGAGGTGGCATTTAAACGAAGCCTGGAAATATTTTGAAATGCAGAAGATGGGGGGACAAGGGAGAGTACAGACTTGGAGACAGGAAGCGGGCTTGCCTGCGGGCGGGGTCTCTGTGGCAGGATGGTGGAGGGAAATGGAAAGGAAGGATGAGCTGGAGTGTAGATGGCATCAGATGTGGCGCTGCAGGCCGGCGCGGTGGCTCACGCCTGTAATCCTACCACTCTGGGAGGATGAGGCGGGCGGATCGCCCGAGGTCAGGAGCTGGAAACCAGATGTGGCACTGCTCTCCCCACACCACCTGCTGGGTAACCCTTGGCCTGCTAACAGCAGGATGAGACAATGATTTAAAATGTTGGATACTTCTCTTCCAACAAAGTTGCGTTAAATGCACCAAAGACCTGATATTCCATCGCTCATAGGAGACTTGAGGATGGGGGAGGCAAGACGCAGGCAGAGCCCCTGTGTCAGTGGCTCCTCACAACCTCCCAGGTGTGGCAGGCACCCTTCAATCCCCTTTTACAGAATAGGAAACTAAGACCTAAGAGAGCAGGTGCCTTGCTCAAAGCTTGGGGCGGTGGAAGCTGACATTAGAAACCACATCTTTTGTTTCTAGTTACTTTCCCTCCTCTTCAAGCTTCCTTTTGAGTAGAGTCTTCAGCCACAATGAGGTTACATCCTCATGGGAGGTCTTGGGGGACTGTGGGTCCTTCTGCCCCCAGCTAGAGGGCCAGCCCTGCAGGACCAGGAGGGCAGGGCACACAGGCTGCTCACAGAGGCCACCTGGTTGGTGTCCACAGGTGACGCTCAGACAGCCCTGGGCGGGGAGGACGACTGATATTTATGCCTTCGGTTGCTCATTTCTGATTGTAAGAGACACATACTCATAACAGAAAAACTGGAAAACTACAAAAGTAACATGCAGAAGAAAGTAAAAATCACCATGAACCCAGCGTCCAGAGAGTACTACTGACATTTTAGTCAATTTTCTTTGTCTTTTTGAAAAGGTAGATACAGCACACAAACACAGATACTTTTCAAAACATAATTAGAATCACATTAGTGACTGTCTGGTGCTCTCCCTTTTTCTCTTAACATCCTCCTACAACATTCTACCATTAATTAGCCCCTTCTTGTAGGCAAAGACGGGAAACTAAGAAAAGTGAAGTAAGTTACTCAAGGCCACTCCAGAGAAGTGGAGGAACCAGCATTCACACTTAGGCCTTCTGATGCCAAAGCCAGGGCCGAAATTGTCAGAACTGATTTCAGATGGAGAAACCGAGGCACAGAAGGGAGGTGATGTGCCTGTGATCACATGACCAGTTCCTGAGAGGGTGAGGCCTTGACCTCAGGTCTCTGCACTCTTTGTCCTGCACCAGTGTTGGGACAGGGCTTGCCCTGGGGGCACCAAGGAGAGGATGGAGCAGGCAGGACAAGGCAGGGCAGGGCAGTGCGCTCACCACCTGGGCAGGGCACAGTGACACACACCTTCTGCTTTCCAGCGGCTCAGACCCAGGGGAATAAGCCCGATCTGCTCTCCTCTATGGAGCCCCCGCAGAGACTCGCTAAGCCTTGGTTCCTACTCCTGCCACGTGGGTGAGAATCCTGACCTCACGGTATTGTTGTGAGGATGCCAAGATTGCCAAAGCCACTGCTTTGTACTCTGTGGGGTCCCAGTCTAAGAATGACAGAATCTCAGACAGTCATGGAGTGTTTAGCTCGATGCCAGACAGCGCACTGGGGGCTCTGCCTGCCTCATTCCACAACACGGTCATGAAAAACCCCCGAGGGAGGTGTGATTACCAGCATCTCTGTTCCACAGAGGAGGAAACCCAGGCTTCAAGGGGTAACAGGCACTCACCCAAGGACACACAAGGGCCGGGAGCCATCACTTGAACCAAGATCAGTCTATGCCAGATTCAAACCCTTAAGTCTGATGATTCGATCTGTGACCAGGAGCAGCATGAGATTGTGGGGAGAGTACAAAAACATAAAGCCATCAGTTATGAGATCCACATTTAGTTCAGCAGACTACAGCTTAATTTTTTTAAATGCCATAACAAAATGATGATAGCTATCATTTGTTGAGCACAAACTTTACTTGCAAGTATCATACTTGATAATGGACCTAAGAGGAAGGTCTGGTTTTCCTCACTTTATAGATGAAAGAACAGTCTCAGAGAGGCCAGACATTTCCCCAAGGTCTTTACCCACTGTGGTGTCCTCTCCAGGGACTGAGGGACGCGGGGGGAGTCAAATGAGCTGTGCCGTGCCTTCTGGCCAGCTGCCAGACCTTCTTCTCCAGGACCCCTCTCCAGGCGAGATGCCCCCTGCCTGGAGTGCTCCAGCCTGGGGGGCCACTTGGGTGGGATTGACACCGGCTGCAGGGAGGGGTAGGATGAGGTTGGGAGGCCGATGCTGTGTAGTGACCCTTTGCCAGGAGCTGGATCTCAGTTGCTGCCTCGAGATCTGGGATGTGTGTGGGGGTGGGGTGGGGGGGTGTTTAAGCAAACCACATTCACGTGGCATAGACAGGGTTTGACTGTTCCAGAGGTAGCTGGATGTTACAACCGTCTGGCCAGTGGCATTCTTCTCTGTTGGATCCTTTCTCCAACCCCCACCATCCTAAAGGCATTTTCCTCCTTGGGAAATCTGCGGATTACAGTGCTAATGTCGTCATCACCATAACCCTGACCACTGCACAGGCAGGGAGGCCAAGGTCCAGAGGGGGTGGACACTGAGCAAGGTCACCCAGTGGGTGGGTGGCTTGGCTCTGGTGGCCTGTGACTCCTCTCTGATGGGGAGGAGGTCGGCTGAGCCTTCATGCCACCCTGTTGCCCTCACCCTCGAGCTGCCCTCTGGGGCAGTTGGATGCATCCTTCCAGTAGCAGGGACTCTGGTCCCTTCGCACGGATGAAAAGAAGGAGCTCAGAGGAGAAGAGTGACTCTCTCAGGGGCACCCGGTGCCAAAAGGCAGAGCCCACCTAGGGCCTGAGTCTCCCGACCACAGTTCCTAGCCCTTCCCACTGCACCCAGTAACTCGTTGGCATCAATATTGAATATTCTCTTTATGAAAACAACTGATTTCTTTCTGTACTGACCATGTCAGACCCTTCATTCCTTTTTATTGCTGAATAATATCCCACTAAATGGATATACCACATTAATTTATCTTGTCACTCATTTAGTCATTATTTATTGTATTTATTCATGGACATTTGGGTTGTTTACACCTTTTGGCTAGTGTAAATAATGCTACTATGAATATTAGCATACAGACTTTTGTGCAGACACGCATTCTCAATTCTCTTGGATATATACCTAGGAATAGAATTGCTGGTCATAGGGTAACTCTGTGTTTAACGTTTTGAGGAACTACCAGACTGTTTCCCAAAGCAATTGCACCATTTTCCATTCCCACCAGCAGACTGGATTTGAAATTTAATGCCACTAAGTGGGTCAAAGTTCTCTCCCTTCTTTATGAGAAGTAGCTGTAAGATGGAACTCAAAGAAATGTTGACCTGAATCGTGCCCCTTGCTCCCTTAAAAGGAGGAGGGAAATAAATGTTTATTTCATGTCTTTTAAGGGTCAGATACTTTGATGAGTATTCTTAGTCTATAATATGAGGTCACAGCTATGCCTACTTTGTAGGGCTGGTGTGAGGATTAAATGAGTCAATCCATGTACAGTGCTTAGAACCATGCCTGACACACAGTAAGTGCTTAATAAATTTTAGTCATTGTTTTTACCTCATTTGGCCCTCCCAAGCACCCAGTGCCTGGCAAACAGTAGACACTCAATAAATGTTTAATGACTGATGAATCAGTAAGCAAGCAGCACCGTCAGGTTGGTATCCATAGCCCCATTTTAAAAACCTGGAAATTGATGCTCAGAGTTTAGGGACGTACTCAAAGTTAAGTTATCACATCAACAGGCTGTGAAACAGACCCAGGTTCTCTTATTTCAAAGCAAGCCTTGCTCTACCCAGGGTCACACCTGGTCAGCCCTTCCTAGCTCCTGCTAAGGATGGTGCTGCCCACCCACCTGCCCACCCGGGCTTGGCCTCCAGGTCCCCTCTGTGGCTCAGTCTCTGACACATCATAGTGAATGGGGAGATAGAAACTTCACCCAGATGGTGGTTAATTTTATGTATCAGCTTGGCTAGGCTATGGTTCCCAATTACTTAATCCAATAATCATCTTGGAGTTACTATAAAGATATTTTGTAGACGTGATTAATGTCTATGATCAGTTGACTTTAAGTAAAGGAGATTATCCTAGTTGGTCTGGGTGGGCCAGATTCCATCTATTGAAAGGTGCTAGGAACAGGACTAAGGTTTCCCTAAAGAAGATCTTTCCCCTGTGTACAGGAAGGAGCTCCTGCCTGCCCTTCCCTCGGCCTGCCCTGTGACTTCAGACTTGCCTAGCCAGAGCCCACGTGGCGAAGTCAATTCCTGACAATAAATCAGTCTGACTGATATAGTCTAGAAGACTTGCTTTGGGTTTTAAATGATGTTCTATTTTCTAAATATAAATTTGTTTTCAAAGGGACAAAATATATAATAATTTAAAAATCATGTAGTGTGCATTTTATGGTAAGTAGATTATACTTCAATAAAGACATTAAAATAATTATATTAAAGTGCCACTATGTCTATCACATAAACACAACATGAAAGTCACAGACTTCTCTTTTAAGGTAATGTTGCACTCTTGAATTTGAAATCTCAAAACCCTCCGAGAGGGGAACAGAGTAAAGTTTACTGGCGTTTTCTATGCTTTGTTTTCCTAAGCGGAGAGTTCCTCACTTTATGAGTCTTAGTAATTCTGGGATTCCCGTGAGAAAAACCCCAGGGAGCCCAGGCTAGATTAAAGTTTCAGCAAGGGGTTCCTTCCCTCAGGAGCTTGACTAGAAAGAGCACTGGACCTGGAGTCCTTTAGCCTGCTTCAGATCCTGACCTGCTCCTTGCTAGCTGTGTGACCTTGGGCAAGTCACATCATCAGCTCCGAGCCCGGCTCTCAGCTTGGGCAAAGTTGCAGAACAAAGCCCCTGAGCCTTGGAGATGAGGGTGGGCTGGGATTACACATCTAAAGGGAAAGACCCTCAGTGTGGAAGGCTCCCAGGAATGTTAGCTGAAGCCAGGGCTACTTAAGGAGGAGACTCTCTAAAGCCTTCTACCACCAAGTCGTTTTCTTGGTATTCATTCTTAAATCCTCTGGATGCCTCATATATGCCCGGCGCCGTGCTAGTCTTGGTAATCAGAGGTCAACAGCCCAGTGCACAGACCGGTGGAGGAGACAGACAATAAACAAACAAATACATGTGCCTTTTGGCAGCCACGGGTGGACAAAGGGCTGGAGGGGAGCGGCTGGTTGCCAGAGTCTGTCCCCTGGGTCCGGCCCAGAGCCGCCCAGCCCCACAGCCATATGGAAGGCATTGAGCAGCGCTTGCATTCCAAACACGAGGGGCTGCCCTCCCAGGCGCCTTTTCCTGGAACGCACTGGCCTTGACTTGGCAGCCAGGGCCCCAGCCGATAAGAAGGGCCGCTGCCTTTCCCCAGAGCACGCCAAGGCCAGTGAGGGAGGGGAGGGTGCTCAGTGGAGGAAGCACTAACCTTGCCTGGGGGACTCACTGGTCCTCAGTGGCCCCACAGACCTCGAGCCCAGGGACAGAACCCAGGGATGGCTAGATCCTAAGGATTCTGTTGCTTTGTTGTAGAAAAGTATGGAAACAATTAAGCCTCCATGGCAGGCAGAGTAACATGAAAGTCCTATGGTTGGCATTCAGGGTTTCAGATCAAGCTTCCCTTCCCTTTGTCCTATCTCTCCTCCCTGCTGGAGTCCTTATCTTGGGGTTCATACTGACACAGAACAGCATCTGGTGGTAGCTGACCCTCAAAAGCTGGTTTGGTGACTGGCTGGAGCAGGCAGGTGCTCACCACCAACCTGAGCCAGCAGGGATTCCCGCATTCATCTCGCTTCCCCTACAGAAGCCCACTGCCATAAGTATCCTCCCGTCTACAGGCGAGGCCACCAAAGAGCAGGAATCCACCACGCCATCTGGCTGTGCACCTGATCACCCTGGGGGCTTGTTAAAACAGAGTGCTGATCCTCCCCCAAATCTTTTGAGTCAGTAGTTTTGGGGTAGGAATGGAAATCTTTCATTTATAAGATGTCCCCAGTCTGTGCTGATGTTCCTGGTGTGGGACCACGCTTTGAGAACCTATGCCCTATGCAATAATGCCTCTTCTAAATACATTTTTGGCACTTAAGTAGATTAAAATTCACCATAGACCACTCTCCATCGCAAAGCTCTGTGATGAATTTCCTTCCCTGCAACCATACTAGAGGGTTACCTTCCTAATTGTCTGCCTGGTGCCCAACCTTTAGAGGAATGAGCCCCAGACACGACATTCAGGACTGAATGCACCTCCTGTACCACATGGCACACATTTTGACACATTCTGTGTGCATCCCTCAAGCAAAGTCAAGGAACCATTCAAGATAAATTTGCTCACTTAGTGATCACCAGGAGAGGGGACAGTCAGGGACAGGGAAGGGACTGGGAAGCTTGCAGAAAACTGCCAGAGGCTCCCAAAAAAGGGACACACAGGGATAGGGCTGGAGCATTGGGTGACAGGGGCAGGCAGGACAGGTTCTTCCGCATTTGAGCATGCTGGGAAGAGAGGAATGTGGGGTGGCCACACTGGGACAGGGAGCTACCTGCCGGCCCAGCTGAGACCTGAGATAAAGCTTCCCAGAATGCCTTTCTGTTTGTCCAGTGGGTACATGTGGCTCCTCTGTCAGACCCTGGTGGGCTTGAGCAGAGGGAAAGTCTCCTCACTCATGCAATGCACATTACTGTATTTATTAGTGAATTAAATAATGACATTCATATATGAGGGTGTTTTTAATTATTAAAATAATCACAGCTCTCACTTATTAAGTGCCTATTACATGCCAGGCACTCTACATATATAATCTCAGTCCATCCTCCCAACAGCTCTGATAAATTGGGTGCTGAGATTATTCCCACTGTACAGATAAGGAAACTGAGGCTAAGTGAGGTTAAACAACTTGGCTGAGGTCCTAGGCGATAGGAAATGACAGGGCTATTGTCTCCCCACCTCTAAACCGCCACTTTCCACTCCATCATCCTGCCCCTCATTTCCTGAACACCTGCTCTGTGCGAAGCCCTGGGTGGGACCACAAAATGAATCATTCCAGTAGTCGTGTATTCAATAACCTTTTCATTTTTTAAGCACTTACTATTTTATGGGCTTATTTATTTATAGCATGCCTTATTCCAGAAAGCACTTAACTTCTTAACTTCTTTACTTGATAGGAATAAAATTTTACAAGGGTGGTCATGTGACACGTGACAAATGGAAAACAGAAGTTGGAAAGAAGTCAGAAGAACCCAGGAATGAGACAGGTACCCACAGTGTGGACCTTGAGGTC